GTAGCTTCTACTCATCACAAGAGGTTTATTAGTTCAGACCTTGTCGCTGGAACCCAGGTATCTTGGAACAAAGTAGATGGATGCAAAATGGAGCAGAGATGTCAAGTCTTAAACGCTGCTTTTAGCCACCCAACAGACATTTGCAGGAAAAAGTGAACAATCTAAGTCCCTGTTGCAGCATGACCTTGAGTGAGTCATTTGATCTCTGTCTGTAGGAGGGACTATAGGACCTGCTTTATCAGGTTGTGGTGAGCCTTTAATGGTATTAAACTTTTTAAGTGCTTACAACTCTACTCAAAACACAGGAAGAGTTCAGTAAATCCTGACAAATATGAAGATGCCTTTCAAATATGAAAACATCCCTTTCTTTTTCATCATCTCATGGTTCAAAGTTGTCAGTAATAATGAAGCAGGAGATAGATTTGTTATAGGTAGAAATGAGGACCTCAGAGAATGGGATCCCACCACCCCAGATTAAAACTCTAGGTTAAAGCTTGCTGTCCTGTTTGTTTTTGACTGTCTGACTGTAAAGTCCCACTCATGCTTGGGTACCCATACATTCTGTTACTGCCCCAGGAAGACAAGGCCACAAGGTGTTGACATTTCCTTGACTTCCCTAACATGAGTCAACCTCAGGAAGTTGTTTGGAACCCACTCAATTCTTTTGTTTTAAAGAACATGTACAGGACAAACTCAGGTTAAAAAACACATCAGATTGTCCCATTACAGGTGAGTCAGAGAAAGAGAACAATCAAAGGGGACTCTCCAATGAAAGATTAGTTCTTTATTAAAACAGTATAAAAACCCCTAGACAGAGAGGCACTGATGGTACCCTCTTGGGACCCTTCCCATGCTGTGGGAACTCCCCTTGCTTGCCTCCAAAGGAGGTGCCAGGGAACAAAATGGAACAAATTCTATTCCACTCATGTGATTACGTAAAATATAAACCACTGAACTCTCCCCCCCATTGTCTGGGTACTTCCTTCTTCTAGTGCATGAGACAGTACTCACATGACCTGTGTTACAATAACGTGATTCTAAAGGGGCTGGAAACTATTCCTAAACCCACCTCCTCCATCCTCGCCTCCTGCTTCCACTAGGGAGATGCCAACATCACAATAGATCCTTGTTGTTTTCCAGGAGGAGGACAAAATATCAAGGCAAGTTGTGACTCAAAAGCAACAAATATATTCTAAGATTGCTGTGGTCTGGAAAAATCCAGACAGCCAGGCACAAAGGATGCCTAAGATGCCCCCCCCCGCCTCCCCCCCCTTGACCTGGGACACATCCAGCATCCCCTAATGAAGCCCAAACCTGGCTTCTTCCCTGTCCCCTGCCACACCATATGGTCCTAGAAACGCCACACTGCAATGCCTCTGGAGCTCCCCAGTCCTACTAAAAGCAGCATTCCCTTCTCTCCCTCCCTCCCTCCCTTCACCTCTCCTCCCTTCTCCATTCCTTTTCTCCTCCCTTCCGTCCTTTGCTCTCCTCTTCTTCAGTTTTCTCTTGCTTCTTTCCCTTCTCCCAAACACCCCTCCTCCACCTTTCCTCTGGGGTCTGACAGTGCTCTTCTCTATTCAATCTTTCATGGACAGATGAAGGCCATCCAGGAACAACCTCGGAGCCCTGAGGAGTTAGAGCCCTCCAGCCCTGGGGCCAGAGTTCCACTGGTCTCATCTTTCAGCAAAGGTAAACCATTCCAAGGTATTGTGCACCCCCTAGTGGTCACTTCATTACGCCAACTCCTACAGTCTCAAAGACCTGTTTTTTCAGAGGGGAAGGATGACTTTCCTTAGGCTTTTGGAGTGACTTCCACCTTTATGTATACCTACAAAATACTAATTTACAAAAACAATAAATGGATGGGGGAAGGCCAGTAGAGTATAGGTAGATGAACAGGGGAGAGGGGTAGGGAAGGGGAAGGAGGAGAAGGTACCAGGGACCAAAATGGAACAAATTATATTCTACTTGTGTGATTATGTCAAAATGAAACCCACTATTATGTAATGCTAAAATACACTAATAAAAACATGAACAATAATGACTTTGTACTAATAATGCATCAGTGAACATTTCTCTGGTCCCTCACTCTTTAAAACATTTTTTATGAGAAGGTAGAGTAAAAAGAAAATTGTTAAAAATCGAGCTGCTGCATTTTACAATGAAGTTTAACCCATCCAGAGCTCCCTGAAAAATTCTGAACCCCCAAAGCAGGATACAACAGACTAGGCAGTAAATAATGATGCGGGGGGCGGGGGGCAGGGGATGGAAAAAGCAAAGGGCAGAAGAGATAGATCTAGCCATGGTTGAACCTTGACCCAGTGCTGGCCCTTTGATTTGCTAATATACACTTAGATGCACTTAAGAATGCTCATGAGCAAATTCTGTATTCTGAGCATAATATTCCTTCCTCTGAAGAGCCAAATTGGGCCAGGCTGTGCAGCTTCTTCAGGAGACCCTAGAGTGAGAACAAGTCCTAACTACAGATTCCAACTCCCTGGATTGCTGGAGAACTTATTCTTTTTAAATGGCAGATTGCTCCACCAGAAAAATCTCCTCTGTACAGGTTGCTTTATCTTGTAACCTCGAAAGTCAGGTTGTCATAACCTAGAACTCTGGGAAGCATCATCATGAAATCATAAAATCTTGATCTTGGCTAAAGTGGTGTGTTCTTGTATCAATAATTCACGTGGTTGCATACAAATACAATTTTGACAGATGTTAGTACAGACATGAGCTGGTAGAACATCCCTATTAGTAACTATCTGCTTGTTCTAAGAAGCTGAGCAGACCGCTCCTCAGCAGCAGGCTCAAGTTCAGGGTAGGTTAGGAATAGTATTTCCACTTAGACATTTTTAAGATAATGGTAAGAGAGACTCTAATGTTTCTGACAAATGGCAGGACATAAATATGCAGCCAGCATGATTGCTTTTTAATAGGTTCGTGCAAGCAGTAATTACTCCTTTGTCTTATTTGATCCACGCTAATTCCTACCTTGCTCAATTGATTTGATTCGTGGCCCCTGGATTTCATAGTGACAACAGGGAAACTAAGAGGAATAGTGATGTTTCCTGAGAAAGAACAATTCCCATGGCTGTCCCAGAGGAAGAACCAGCCATCGTGGGCCAGGGTGGTGATGGCTGCTTCAGGCATGGGGAGAAACCAGGGAAGGTGACCAGGGGCTACAATATCCTGGCACCAACTTTTTCCTTGGCAATTATGCATTTCATTCATCGGAAACACACACACACACACACACACACACACACAGAGACGGTAAGGGGAAAGGCTCTTTCCTGAGTGGGCTAAGTATACACACTCTTCTAGCTATACTTGAAGTTTAAGACCCAGAAAGATCTATCATGAGTGCTGATGCCAGCACTTACCCTTTTTTAAATTTATTTGTATTTTTTTTATAGTTGTAGTTGAACAGAATGCCTTTATTTTACTTGTTTTGGTTGTGTTTTGTTTTATGCAGTGCTAAGAACTGAACTCAGTGCCTCACACATACTAGGCAAGTGTCTGCCAATGAGCTTCAGCCCCAGCCCTAGGGCTTACCTTCAAGTTGCATATTCTGCTGTAAGAGTATTATTACAATTTCATAGAGGCCATTGTAAAACACAGACACTGCATTGAAAATGGGGGCCCTGGAGACTCACTAACGCACCTGGAAGCATAGGGAAGAGGCTGAGGTTTTGTGTCTTGAGCATTAAAATATTTTGTATGGTGTATCAAGCTTGTAGTTTAAGAAGTAATATGGATTGCAGTATTTAATTGCTTGTCTTTAATATGCTCTTTTGTCATGGTTGGGTAATTAGCTGTGGACTGGGTTCAAATTCAGGCATCTCTCCACGAGACTGGCTACCAACCACCCAATTTGTTGGCGCCATTATTTAATTTTTCAATAGTCAAGTAGTAACTGATACCATTAACTAAGGCCGAAGAGTTGTACCAAAGCAAAACAGGAGCAATGCAAAATCCTTATTGTCTGTGAAGAGAAAATATACCATTTCATCAGAAGAAAAGTTTTTTCCAACATCAATTTTATGCATGTACATTCCTATGGGAGATGCCCTGACCTTGCTGGCTTAGCCCCATCCTTCTGGTTGAGCCCATTAGGAACAGAACAGGAGTTGGTGTCAGAAGACCTGGGGTTTGAGTGTTGGCTCCTTAGGTGTTGTTGGGTCAGTCACTTAATATAAAGAAGGAAAATATACTGAACAATTAGCATGAGTATTAAGATAAAGATTGCAATGTGCTATTTAAGGTAAGCCTTTTTAAAATTGTGCTTCTTTTTATGATAGTTTTGCTCATCCTAGATGTAAGGGTCAGACCTTCCCACACACTCTTGAGTTTCAATGGTTCATCAGCACAATCTAAATATATGGTTTTAAAAGTCAGGCTATATCTGACTACATCCTGGAATGCTGACTTACTCTAGGGTCCTTACTCGTGGCTCTCCGTTCTTGCTCAGTAACTGAAGTGTCTCTGATTTCTTCCAGCTCTTCCCAAATTCAATCGCTTGATAAGTAAGCCAGAGATTAATATGAATAATCCACTCTTGCACTCATTTGTCACAGTTTCTACTTTTGGCCCCGCCCACTCCATCCATCCTTCCTCACCATCCTTTCTTACAAACAGAGCCTACACAACATTTCATGAACGCAGTAAGGTCTGAAGCAGAATGCTGGCAATGAAGAGATCTTGCAGTCATTTATCAGTTTTTTAAAAAGTCACTTTTTGTTCCTAAAGCCACTTTATTTAATTGCCTACTTTAAAAGGTTTGGTATGATGAAAGATTGTTTTTGATCCCCAGTCCCCAAGTACTAAAGATAAAATGCAAAAGATGGAAAAAGCGTTCCAAGTTGAGGTGAAAATTTTACCAAATGAACATCAAAAACAGGGACAGCAACTTGTAAATGATTTGCTGGCCTCACTGGAATTTGTCTAGCTGTACTTTGATCTTGGTGACGGGTGGTGGCTGAGCTGTGTAAGGTGATAAAAACCTTCTCACTAAAACAAAGGGGCTCAGACAGGACAAAAGGAGAACGGGTTACCTATTTGGGGGTCTGTTATTTTTCATCGGCTCGGTTTCCTTGTCTTATGACACCTGGGGAGAGACCTTCAGGTGAGAGGGTCTCGATGGCAGGAGTTTGTAAGATATGCGAGTGCGTATTATGCATGAGGTCTCCATTTGGAAAACTGCAGTCTCAGGCACTAACCAAGATGAATGACAGTGATGCGTTCTTCATACTTAAAGGCAGAAGATACCTCCTAGGTAGGCACTTTTTCTATTTATGAAAATTTCCATCACAGATTCTAAGAATTTTTCTTTTTCTTTTTTTTTTTTGAGAACAAAGTATGAAATCAAAAGTATACTGATACTTGATGTATCTGAAAAATTGTGATATCTCACAAATTAATTTTGCTTTTTTTTTTTTTCAAACCCAAGGCCTCAGGCGTGCTGGGTAAGTGCTGTGCTAGAGAGTGATATTCCCCAGCCCTAACTTTCCTTCTTAAAATCCCAAACTTAGAAAAAAAAAGCAGACTCCTTGGGATGACAACCTTTCTAAAATGAACTATATGTGTGACTGATTTATCAAGGAATTTATGAAGGTATTATTCTTCCCTTAACCCTGGCTTTCAGTGGTACAATCCCAAATAAGACTTTTTCACTCTACTAATGACATCTCAGTCAGAATCCATAATTCCTGGTTATTTTCAGCTACTGAAAGATAATCTGCTAAATTCATAGGTCCTTCAATTCTTGATACAGGCAAGGTTCAGGGACCAAGAGCTTGGGGTATAGTATGGAGTCAGGTTTGTCCTTTCATTCTTCTTCTCACCCCAGTAAGTTACATCTGGTTAGCAGGCAGAAGGGATCCTGCCCTACTCCAGGGTCCAGCAGCTCTACAGGGAAGAGGTGGAAAAAGGATGGGGAAGTACCACAGCCACAGCAGCATGCCCATGGCACATGGAGATAGCAGTGGGTATGGTAATAGGTGGTGTGCAATAACACTGTTGCTATGGTTTGGATGTGGCTTATCCCCCCAAGGGTCCATGTTGTTCAGCATAGTGATGTTAAGAGATGGTGAGACCTTTCAGAAATGGGGCCAAGTCATGGAGATTTAGGTCGTTAGGTCATTAAGAGCACCACCTTTGGAAGAAATTAAGATAGTTCTCATGGGATCCTAAATAGTTCCCTTGAGAGGGTTGTTACAGAAAAGCAAGACTGGCCCCCTCTTCACTCTCTGGCTTTCTGTCTCACTACTATAATCTCTCCTCCTACATGCTCCCTCCATGCTGCCATCTGCCATGATGTGACAGCCAGGAAGCCCTCACCAGAGCCAGTACCATACTACTTGGATTTTCAACTTTTAGCTCCACGAGTTGAATAAATCTCTTTTCTCTCTAAGGTATCCAACCTCTGTATTTTGTTACAGCTATGGAAAATGAACTAATACAACGACAGATAGCTGGATATTCATCCAAGTACAAGTGAACGGATGAACTTCACATGTTGTTTTATAGAATACAGAATGATAGCTCTCTGGCCTGCCTTTTATTTCCTCAATTTTGGTGATCTAATCTAATGTATAGAGAGTTCATCCTCTTTCCTCAGATGGTGTTTTTAGTTTCATCTCAGTCTCCTCCATCACTAAAGACCTCAGAGACCAGCAGTCTGATCTCCCTTTAACCTCACCAGCAGCCCACACTGCCAACACAATGGCACACTCTATTGTTTGTTTTGGTGGCTTTTGAGACACTCTTCAGCTCTCACCTTTCTCTAAGTCCCGTCCTTTTTCATGTGGAACCATGGGAATGACTAGGATATTTTCCCATTCTTTCCAAGGAACAGAGAGAAGTTGGTTGGGGCAGAGCTGTACTGCACTCTTCCAGGGTACTACCATGGTCTAAGACTTGCTGATGCAGAGGACTCCACCAGACCTTCCTCCCTCAGAACACTCTGGACCAAAAAGCGGCAATAGTCCCTGTGCACTTGTGTGCCCCAGCTCAGAGAATTCATGTCATGTCACTTCTGATAAAGAATTCTCTCCTTTAGTTTGGCTCATTAAGTCTTCATGCAGGGGATCAGAAACAAGCCTCCAATTTCCATATGTGATTGTTCGAAGAAAAGGAGAGGATGCAGTTCAACTTGAGATAAGAAAAGCAGGGTTTGCTTACGCTGGGTAAGATTGCATATCTTACCCAATCAGGAAATGGAATCAAATAAAAATCTTCAATTCATGAAACAGAGGATTGCTTCACTGCTCAAAGATGTTTTTGTGCCTCAACATTCTTAGAATATTGACTTAAACTAGGATTAGATTCTAATTTCCTCATAGTGGAGCTCTCAGAAAGCTTAGTTCCTAAAAAGTTTACATAAAGAAGAAAAAGAAACCCCCATACGCACAACCTTCCAGATTCCCACTGTTCACCGTTACACGAGTACAGTGACTTTTCTGTATTGCTGTCCAGGAATCACCCTACCTCTCGGCCTTACAAGAGGAAGCTCCTTAAGCATCATGTCTTACCACACGGGAAGATATCACCTCCTGGACCAAAGAGAACCTTTAGCTGTCTTGACTTGTCAGGCATTGATTGATGTGTAGGATTCATGTAGCATTCCTCAGGAGAAGTTAATGAATATACATGAATAAAGCATTTCATTGGTGGCTGGGGGGAGGGGGAGGTGCATGAAATTATTTTTAACTTATTTAATTTGGCCCATGATACAGTCTTGTTAGAAAACTAAATAACAGAACTTCCCCCTTGAAGAAATGGCCTAACAAATTACAGTCAATAGAGGCATAATATATTTTGTATCAACTAGCAAATATAAACATACCAACTATAAACGCCTGACTGTGCACAGTGCATCACTCCATAAATGTGGCTAACTAATTATTAATTCATATTGATGCTCTCTTACAGATAAGGACTTCTTGTTTTTCAATATAATAAGTGCTGAAGAAATTGAAGGATGAAAGTGTTAACTGATCTATTGATTTTTAGAAAGTATTTAGATGCTGGTTACTACATTTTTTTTTTTTTTTTTGGTTGATTGGAAATTTTATTATCTTCAGATATCCCATCTGAATGTTCAATGTTTTTTGTTAATACTTAATGTGACACATCTGTAAAAGATAGATAGATATTCAGGTATGACCACATCTTTTGGGAAGCCATCCGTGAAATACATGAGGATCTTCTCCAGGCATGGGAGTCAGGGGAGTTAGGCCTGGCCTTGGGAACTTCCCATGGCTGACCCATGGCAATAGATTGCCCAATGCCCGTGACCTTTCCCTCCACTCTGCTAGGAAAGTGCCTCATAGTAGCTCCGGAGATGGGCCTAACCCATTAGGAGCTGAACAGCCCAGCTTTAACCTTTTTTGGAGAAAAACATTCTATAGAATCTCTTTGATGTTTCCTGATATAAATAAAAGTGGCGCAGGCTCCATCTTGGTCCAGAAGTTTGATTGGTCTGATTAGCTTGCCTGACCTGCTTTTGAAACTTCTTTCTGTAATTTTTTTTATTTGCTCATTTGTTGGAGATAAAACCCAGGGCCTCACACATGCCATGCAAGTACTCTACCACTAAGCTACATCCCCAGCCCTGGTTTTATTCTTTATCAGAACAGAATAAAGCAGAATACTAGAGTTCTGCTAAAGCCAAGTTGAACTTTAGCTGCAAAAAGTTCTAACCATCTAATCAACAGAAAAAAAAATTGCACACTTTCACTCAGATACAAACTTGTCCAATAAACTTGAAACAGTTAACAATGGAATGTGAACTCAGAAAAATTATTTTTCATGATCCTGGGATTTGGTGAAGTTTCCCCCTCATATATCTTCTATACCTTCAACTTGATGTTTTCAAGACTTCATGTCTCACCTCCCATTTCAAACAGAAGTTAAAAATTCAGTATTAGAAGCTATCATAGTCATAGTTATGGCAAAAATCTTATTCATAGCTAAATATTAAATTCTGAATAATATGAAGTTGAGGTTATGACCTGCAGTGAGCTGGATTTAAGGAACTGCACTGAGTAAGAACTAGGATATATTATTAAGTGGGGATAAGTCTTCAACCATCCAGTTTGCAAGGCAGGTAGGAACATAGAAGATGGGTACTATCTGCAAAATCCTGAATCAAAGGCAGTCCCAGTCTGCCACACAGTTGACCAGAAAATACATAAACATTTGGTTCCTACCATCTCTGACTTCTCTGTAAAAGCAGACTTAGAGCACAATGATGAAGAACAAGGGGAAATGGAGCCAATTGGACCATCGAATCCTGAACCCTCAAATATTGGCATATGTCTCTCTGAATTTCAACTTCTCCATCAGTGAATCCAGGACAGCATGTTAGCTTTCTGTCACTATAACAAACACCTGAGATAATCACTTTATAAAGCAAAAAGATTTATTGTGGCTTATTGTTTCAGAAGGTCTAGTCCATGCTCTATTAGCCAGCCCCATTGTTTTTGGCCTGTGGTGAGGCAGCACATCTTGATGAAAATGCCTGGCATAGCAAAACCATTGACTTCAGGGTCGGACTGCGAAAGAGTAAAAGAGAAAGAGACCAGGATCTCACAATCCCTTTCAAGGACATGTGCCCAGTGACGGGAAATCCTCTCAGTCGGCCCTACCTCTTTAAGTTGTCACCACCTCCCAATAGCACCAAGTTGGGGACCAAGCCTTTAACACATGTGCCTTTGGGGTACACTCCAGATCCCAACTATAGCAGATAGTAATAATGCCTATTTTCTATTAGAGCTGGGTGACAACTTCTGAATCACTGTTGAAAGGTTAAATAAAATCCAGGACATGCAGAATCAAAAGAGTTCCTAGAAGCTGAGCAGTGTTTGATTGTGGTTCTTATGTATCACCTAGTGTAACTCCTACAGATAATCTGCTCCTCATCATCTATCTGCTTGGCTACTGTTGCTTTGAATAATTTCTTTCCAGTCTCACAAATTTCCTAGCTCTTCCTGTTCTTCCCTTAAACTAACTTCTTCTATGAAACTTACCCACATTTGTGTTTCCATTATGTGGATCTCCATCTTGACTACCAAATTTGGACATATCATGAGGATAAACAATACCATGGTTTTTATTTTAATGACCTTTCACAAGCAATTCATGAATATTTGTAGCCTTAAGTCCTTAAATGAGGCAGCATTTATATAGTCTTAAGATTTTACAGAGGAGGCCTCTTTAATTCATAATTCAGAAGTATAAATTTCAACAAAATTATAAATAATAAGGAATCAAGGAGCAAATGATTTTTATTCAAGTGAAGATTATTTATTTGCAAAGGCATGAAAATAGATGATGCCCTGTGGAGATAATTGCTAGATCCATGTGAACTTGACTTTCAGAGAAATGGTGTGTGATGTTCTGCTTTTCAGTTTGTAAGTCAATCATCCAAAGCCCAGGAGCATCTAGGTAAGTAAAGAGAAGAGGTAAAATGTAATCAAAGCAGGTTACCATAGCCTGCTTATTCAGCTGTGAAGACATGCAGTAAAATGGATAGTTTTAAATAAAAAGTATGCATTCATTATAACATAAAATGAATATTTTTAATTAAAACATGGGTCTTTAGAGCAATAAACTGAGCATTAAGAAATAGAATGCAGTGATATAATTAAGACAAAATGAATATAATCCTTTTAGTCATCTCTAGTTCACTGTAGCCCTCCTACAGATTTCTGTGGTTCACAGAACCTATTGATAAAACAGACCTGCCTCCTTCCTTAGCAAAGAGAAGCATAAAGAATCTGCACTAGGAGGCAGAGGTGTAACTCAGTGGGAGAGCACTCACCTCTCATGTGCAAGGTCTTAGATCTGATCCCAGCACCCCCAAAATACTGCACTCAAGGTCAGAAAACAGAAGCCATAAATCTGCTTCGCTGGGCATGGTGGCACATGTGTATAATCCCAGTGGCTTAGGAGGCTGAGGCAGAAGGATTGTGAGTTCAAGGCTAGCCTCATCAACAGTGAGGCACTAAGCAACTGAGATCCTGTCTCTAAATAAAATACAAAAGAGGGCTGGGGAAGTGGCTCAGTGGTGGAGTGTCCCTGAGTTCAATCCCTGAATCCATGTAACAAAATTTTTTTAAAAAATCTACTTCTGATCCTGTAGGGGAATTTGGGAAAGTGCAGCCTTCATGAATTTCATTTCACTAAAATGCAAATGAAGGGGTTGAATTTGATGTCCAATAAGTTCCCTTCTTTCTTCTTCTCAAACATTCAACACAATACTAGCATAGCCTTGGAAGGGTAAACTCCTATTATATGTTCATTTCTAAATTATGAATATTAAGATTACTGAATCCTTAAAACATTCTCATTTCACGCATCTATAATGGGTTGACTGATTTCTAGCCTGCTGTAGGTAGAAATGAAGGTGGGGTTTCACTTTAATCATGACTAAAATCACACTACAGACTATGAAAGTTCTGCAATTCACTTGGAAACAGGCTCTTTGCTAGACTAGGAAATGAACAGAAGCTTCAGGGAAATTAGGGAGTTTGAATGGAAGTTCATTGACTTCGTCTGGGAGACAGGATTCTGGAGACTCCACTTGAATAGTGAAAAAGAAGACTGTATTCCTCAGGACAGAAGTATGGAACTGGGAGGAAATTAAGGAAGCAAGCTGTATGAAGGAATATTTACCTGGATTTTTGAAACTTAGCTGTTCATATGCTTCATATACACAAATCCCTTTTCTTCATCATAAGTAAAATTTTACTTTAGGCAGACTTACTGTTGTTTGAAACTTTTCTGTAATTGCCAGAATTCCAGTTTGCACATAAGCAACCCTTGAGTCATTCCTATTAAGGACAATTAGAAAAAGAAAGATCTGGATCTAGAGAAGAGGAACAGGAAAAATTTTTAAAGAGAAGTAGAATTTTTTTTCTGTGTCATCTAGGGAAAAACATATGAATGAACAAATGAAAATAAAATATTCTTTCTCCAAAACATAAAGGTTTATATTTCTAAAAACACCTGACTTAATTTTTAGTTCTGGTCATGATGAAGTTTCAAGTATCATACTCACCCACCAAAACACAAAAACAACAAAAAGGATAAAATACCCAAAGCAACTCTTTTCAGGCAATAGACAACAGATGGCATGTGATCTTTTTTTTTTTTTTTTTTTTTTTTAATTTTTTATTGTTGGCTGTTCAAAACATTACATAGTTCTTGATATATCATATTTCACAATTTGATTCAGAGTAGGGTC